TCTTCCGCTGAATAGAACGAGACGTACTTCACCCAGTCGCTCAGTTACATCAAGGTAACACATCTATCTAAGCACTCATCAGATCCTGCACAAAACTGAACCTCACTGCAGGCGAAAAGTTTTAATCGGTGGCTCATTTTCCAAATCCTTTGTCATCGTTCCTTTCAGAATGCATTGAATTCCAAAAATCATTCTTTTCCCGAAACCCTGATTCGCTCTGATCGATTGCTGCGAAAAGTCACTAGGCGATCATGATAGAATTTTTGTTTCATTTCTGATTTGCTTACTGGTTGCTCTATTCAATGAGCAGATTTCGAAGAACATTTGCAGTGGTCATTACTGTTTCACATTCTCTGAGATGACCATTAGGAAATTAGCATAGGCACAACAAAATATAACAGATCAACACCAATCACACACTGATTCNTGATTGAATAAATGTGTTTCGTTCAGGGCATCTAAAAGAAGCTGTGGTAGTTCTGGACCGTAAAAGGTATGTCCGCTATAATTGTTGTTTAGCAGTCGTCTTTCTTTTGCAACGAATGCATCAAGCAGTAGACAATTACCTTGATGCCATCATAACACCTTCATTGCCAATGAAAAATTGAATTGCTTCGTGCGATTTAAATTTTTTTCACTTTTTGATTGCATTCGTAGTAGAATTTTAATTCAATTCATTTTACTTCAATACTCGTTTAAATTTTGCGATTCACGAGAGATTCACCACATCCATGATCATATCTACAATTTGTCGTTGCTCCATCTTAATGAGAAGCCAAACTTGCCCAACCAGTTAAGAGTATTTAGAAAGCTACGGTAGTAGGGGCAAGGCAAGCAAGGCGAAAATGAGTAACATCAGTCGTGCGAAAGCAAATTTCCTATCCAGAACCATCTATCAAAGTATCTGTTGAATTGCTCAAATCTCGTATTTAGTTTCGTTCTAACTTTCAGATTCAAAGCGAATGTTATGAGAAGACAAATTACTACCTTGTTCAAATGACTCATTCTGTTCCATTCTTTCAACAACTCTGTTCTGGACATCACAATGTTCATCACTCATCGTCTGCTCACATCGAGCGGACTCAAACAAAATTTACACTTACTCTTATTTAGGCATCATTACTATGGCTCATTCACTGCATTCCGTACCTGATTATATTTTCGATTACTATCGCTATTTATGAAAGAATGATGAAGAAATAAATTTATTAGAATACTTGATAAAGTCAGAGCCTGAGCTCATGTTCATCCTTCCATATATTCCATAGATATTCAGTTTGACATGAATCATGAGATCACTTCCACTAACAACTTCTAACACAGTTCGAAAAGTGAGTGGTACTTTTAGATATGAACTATTCAATGACTATAAAACTTGTGCTCTGAATTTCCAAAGAAATGTTCAGTTGTAACAAAATCTTTCAGAAAGTATTCACTATGGCACAATCACTTCATTTGTGACACGATTGATTTTGACAGATTTTGGGAGAGAAGTCAAACAATTCGATCGTTTAAAAAAATACTGCAGCATTTAGGTGAGAAAAAGAACAACAAAAAAGTTTTGCGTTGATTAACTTAACGAATTCTTCTTCTCGTTTCAATTTTGCACTTACTCCAGAGGCACTTCTTAATTGGTTTAATATCATTTTCAAATCAGGAACTATTAATTGCTTTTTCGCATTTATACAACCACAAAACACGTTTTGACCTCGGCACGTCTTCAGTGTTTTTCAATCTCCGAAGTTCGTCTATAAGAACAAACAGGAACAAATTGAGGAATGGACGGCGGCAAAACCGGTAATGTGCTCGGGAATAATTGGCGATCTTAAGATTAACCTCGACGTGTAACATTCCACTGAGGAACATTATCAAATAACGACAATATTTGCATTGTTCATTTTTGATGATCATCAGTTGTTCAGCTCTGCTGATTGCCTCTGAGATGTGGGAAATGAAAATTGCGAGATTTTTTTTGAACGAATTTCTGGAATTTCTTTTTCTCCATAAACACTTCGAGAATCTCGAACAGTTGCAATCGCTGAAAGTTTTCAATCAGCTTTTTTTTCAATCAGTTTTCTATCAACAAACAATGCAAAATGATTGCATGATATTGATTGTCGACAATAGAGAGAAAATTATTTTGACAAATTTTTCACCGAAAAAAAGTTATGAACGAATTCATTCAACTTGAACACAAAAGTAGAGACGACGTGAATCAGACGACAATCACTGTGGAACAAAGTGTGCTGGTGGTGGTTATGAAACGTTGAAGAGAAACATATCCATAAACGTTTTAAAAGTTATTTGAGAATGGAGTTCGGAGAAGTAAGTCTGTGCTGCAATAAATGATGATGACTTCGCTATAATTATCTATCAATTCCCATCATCCCATCAAAAACCTATAGCACTTTCTCTTTCTCGTCTTGTTTTAAAAGCAAATTCAAAACAACAACTAGATGATTGAGAACATGTAACCGAAACTGAAACTGATGATACTGCATTTTGCAACGGAAAAACAAAATAAAAATAAAAACTTAGCGATCATGACCAGAATGTTCATCATTACATTTATGTAGCAATTGTTTAATTAATTGCGTTTCTCTCACCGGCTTTTCTTAGGGAAAATTCTTTTCAACACCTTCCAAAAAAAAAACACCTTCGCAAGGCTTCATGAACTGTTATGAGAATAAAGAATATTGTATATGAAGAGATCGATAAGAAACTCTATATGTCAATGGAGATACAGAAACACTGTGTATAGATCAGGAATAAGAGCCAGGAGAGCATCAAGCTTTGCACGAAAGCTTCCGTACAGATTACCAGTGAAAGATGATATGATAGACGCTAAGGTAACTTTCGGATTCTGAACACTTCAACTGATTGAAGAAGCCATATTGAATACAATCGTACAATTGGATCGGATGGCTCGAAGATGTACCACATTTTAGCAATCGGTCACTAAGAATACTGAAACAATTGCAATTCCAAGGAAAATGAAGATGTCATAACATATCATGTTTCAATTTGATTCAGTCAAGTCAACTGATAAAGTATTATATGGTGTTTGTGCGGACCACACATTACATAAAACTCCAGCAGCAAGAAACACCGAACCAAAAAGAGTGTTTTGAGAATTCACTGAGCTCGTTCTTATTTTTTTNTTTTTTTGAGAACCCGCTGAACGAAAATGACTATGTGGACAAAAAGGAAACGAGTAAAAGAAGATAAAGCAGCTTTTCGTGTTTCTAATTTAGATGCTTTCAGTGAATCATCCACTGCCTTCCGTCATGTTCATCACCAATACACTCATCCTTCCATCAGTCACACGTCTGCTTGCGTTCCATTTAAGAGATTAGCAAAAAGCGTTAATCCGATGTCAGATGGGACATGCCAATTGAATTTTATATGAGAAGATGAGATAAATTATAAACGAGGCAAGAAGATTCATTCATATTCGAACGCAGACACTGCCCGCCCGTGCATGAGATAATGGAGTATGCAAACCATGAGAAATATGTTTGTTCGGATGGATGGATGGATGCATGGACACTATTTCATGAGTACATCGATGGAATGAACGGATCGGATGGGATCGGATAATAGGGCGTGACGACGACGACCACTTCGTTTGTTCATTCATAATTTAGATTGTTGCGTTCGTTGACTGAAGAATCAGAATGTGAATGAGTATATGGGCATCAGAGTAAGCAGATAGAGCTATTAGAGATCGCTACACTGTATGAGCCATTCAGATGAGGAAAGTGCTTGGATGACTAGGCCTATTAGATGAATTTAGAATGAATGATTGAATGGGCAACTAACGCCATTCGGAAGGACGGCCTTAGACTGTCAGCCGTTGAGCACCGTTTAAATTTATATCTGCTGCTGCTTCACCATTCCCGACTGACGGATAGATATCTCATAGTCACACACGCACACACACATATCTGGATAGATATCGCAATTATGTCAGTAATATTGTTCCGTTGCACCGCTTCTTCACCTCTTTTGTGGAGACTAACTGATGCATTCGATCGTACTTCGAAACAATTTTCCACTTTCCTCAATTTTCGACAAAGCTTGCTCGATTCGAAACACCAATTTCATTTCCTAGTTAGTCATTTTGCTCACTATCTGTTCTGCTGTCCCTCTTCGTTTAATCAGCAACAAAATTTAAATGCGTTATAGAACGGATTATCGAATTGCATTATCAGTAAGTCTCGGAGTTAAGTTGCCGAGTGCATGAGCATGAACCATGCCAATGAATAGCCATGCTACGAGAAATTTTCAATGAAAGTTATTCGAATCAACCGGAAGCGTTCGCCTGTATCGTCTCGCATATGAGCCATTTAAAAGAAGACTGTTTGCTGAATGAAAACATTTTCATATTTTCGAATACATTTTCATAATTTAATGTTTTGTAAATTGTAAATGAGTCGCCATATGTATTGATTTATTTTGCACTTATCCGATTACTTTCTTACGTTCTTTTCACATTCACCAAAGCTGTTATTTGCCTCTATTTCATTTTATTTCACACAACAATCTTATTTACCATCATCTCATTTGTCTGAGTCCATATCCAGACTCCGTGCCTATTACAATTCGCACTTGTTTTCATTGATATTCTATCCTTATAGCAAAGAATTTCGTTCTCTCGGTATCCTCATATTTCTTCCTGAAACCTCCTGGAGCCATTAGAATCAAGTTTTTTTCTCAGTTTTTCTCATATTTCACTTTGAAAACAATTTCGTTATGATCTGCAATAGATCCTCGCGTAGATGAAGCATTTTAATGTTCGCATCATAATTCATCATGGAACATATTGAGTGAAAACTCGTAAATTTCTCTTGATTACGAATCTTCGTGACCAACAGAAGTGCTGAATGACTCAGATATTTCCAAGCTCAAACGATCCTTGTTGAACAATCTCATCGCATTATCGTTGAATTCTATCAAATTTTCATTTATCATTCCAGATTTCGATAAGATAGCAGAGCATGTTACCGCCGATTATATTTGTACTATTCGAAATCGCTCGCATTGTATCGGCTGGAGATATTCATTTCAAAGAGGAGAACCGACTGAAAAACATTCGTCAACTCACTTTCGGTGGACAAAACGCTGAAGGATACTTCAGGTGAGCAGAATATCCTCTCGAGAAGAGGCCTCCGCAATCAGCTCCCTTTTTTTATTCATGTTGATTTCCATTTATATACTTAAGCACAAAACCATCACTCATTTCTTTAACGAGCTCATTCTCTTTATTAGTAGCCTTACTATTGCAATAAGTACTGCTATTGTTACCGCAATCATCATTAATTGAAGTTACGACGGAAAATGGCTCACATTCCAAGCATCCGGAATGGAGGAGTACGGCACATTGTGTGATCAGGTAATCGTTTAGTAAAATTATACCTTCTTCATTGTTGTCGTCACTGTATCACGAAACAGTGAACTATGTGTTTATCGAACAAAACTTATCAAAACGTGAGGGTAATAAGGGAGAAAGATAAGCTGAAATTAATGGATTGCTCTTTACCTTCAATGAAAATCTGATAAAATTATCCACAAATGATGAATCAACTTGCGTTTATCGCTCATTGATTGGTGTATTCTTCTCTCGGAAGCATCGAGTGGTATTTCTTCTTTTTCAGATCTACAGAATTGATCTAACACTACCTCCGAAAGAACAAATCGCACACCGTCTCAGCACAGGTTAATTCCAATTGCTCGATCTTTTTACTCAGCTTTGATTTTATCAGATCGCATGGAAGTGATATCCTGTATGTGTGTATGTGAAAAGTTTCGAGGGATATAACCCGAGAAATCTGCAATTACGAAATTTTATGGGGCCAATTTTCGTTGTTTGATTTTATTTACACATTAACTACTGTGTTTTCTTTGCTTTCAGCAAGTGTACGTCTCAATCGTTCCCTTCTTATGTTCCTAAAACATAGAATCGTTCCTCATTCCGAAAGTATTTTTGAAAGCAAAATCAGCTCCATCTAAAATAATCTCGATGAAAAATTAACATATGCATCGTGTAATAGCAATACGAGCATATACTAGTCCTTATTGACACGCAGCTAATCGTAAGTCAGTTGAACTCACTGTGAATATTCTCAAACTAGATAACGAAGAAAGAAAAGATGAATTGATTGCTTTGTTATTCTCCAAAACGAGCGCAATCAGCTAAAGTTAGTGGCCCCATTTCCTCCGTTAACATCGTTCTGAGAAGAAAACTGAATTTGACTAACAACAACAATTCTTTGATGAGTGCTTTATTTCGTACTCGTTCATTCTTTGTGCTCCTTTTCAAACTGAAAATGCTGTTGATCAATTCTGAAAACGTTCATTACTACTTTCAAAGAAGAGAAGAAGAAAATGAGAGCGAGCAACTCACAATCAATTGCTTGAAGGAATGCGGAATGCCGCATTTCAAAAGCAAAAATGAGCAGAAAAATGCATGAAAAATAAGCAAATAAGAGCACGTTTCAGAAATCCAAATGAGAAACAAGAAATTTTTTTGCAGTGTTCATTTCAAGAATGAAAAACCAGCACAAGAATGCTTTGCTGGAAATCCATTTGTGCGCTGTTTTTCTGATTGATTACAAGTCGTTGTCGTGTATGTGCATACATTGCCGTGCCAGTTCTCTTGCTGCTTTCATTTCATAAAACCAACCGCTACTGATGCTCATAAACTTTGTGTATTTGTTTCCAAGTAGTCTCTGCTTCTGGCCGAATGAATCATCTCGAAACGGCCATCAATAGCAAAGAAAAACTGAAGATTTATGACACGAAATCTTTCGAAAAATGCCTCACAGAAGGAACAAACGCAAACACAATCATGCATATGATATGAATGCATGTATGAATATGCGCTAAGAGTTATTGGCTCGGAGGTCTCCGACTGCAATCGCAAGGACTTGTTCGATCGGGGACGTCGGCTAACCGAATTTCGATTTCCACCGATCGAAGACCGACCGATGCTCAAAATTTACCTCTCTGCCTGGGGCAATCGATTTTCGGGGGCCACGATTGGGTGTTCGATCGGGGCTACCACGAAAAGATCTTGCGGTTCTCAACGCTATGAAATGTTACATTGGGTTTCGAATCATTCGCCGACTACATCATTTTGCATAGTGTATTGGCGACTTTCCGAACATTGAAACCGTCTTACAAAACTTACATTAGCATTTCTGTCATGTTTTGAAGCGAGTAACGACACTAAAGAACGTACATAGGTATCATTCGAAATCAAAAAATTCAACTCAGCTGCGATTGAAGAACAGATCACATATAGATCAAACTGTCCACTTGAGAAATCTGAATGGAAACTCCGAAACGGTAATTATTTTTCGAGAAGTGATGAATGCAGAATTGCAGGATTGGGTACGTGCACGTGTTCGTATTTCTATCCGGACAATCGGCACGTCATCTACGCCGGAACGTTTCAGCGTGCGAAATTCAACTCTAACGAAACGCTCGAGAGTTGTCCACAGAAAACGTGTCAATCGAAACGAGCAAAAACCGACCCAGTTCTCAAGAATTTATGTACGCTTCCTATCCAGTTATTATTTTCCATCTATTTTTGAGAACCTTATGAATAGTGTGTTGCGCGGAGATCGGGGAATTCCGGGAACCCCACCCGGTCCCCGATTTTTTCCGATCACCGATCGACAGCATGTTCAGGNACCCCGACGGCAAAATTTCGTCCCCGACTTCTTTTTCTGTCTCCGCAACACACTGCTTTCAATATTTACTCTTATTCATCAACACCTTCAACATACTCAAATATTCAAAACCATTGTTCGAACGTATCAATCAAATTTTTTTATTGGAATAATACTCCTCATATGAAGCCTAAAATCAATTTCCTTTTTATTCTCGCTATGCTCTAACAAATGACACGAAAAAGCTATTTTTATACGTTTGTTGGACTATATCGTACTGAATTCATGTGACAACTCAAGTGGTGATTGATTAATGCATCGAAATTTATTGCCGTTATGATTAATTTTATTGCTCGTTGGTGTATTTCCAGGCAATGGCAGCTACACGTGGGACTTATTTCCAGAATTTGATATATTCAAGGTTTGCGCTTGTTTATTATCGCTTAAAAGAGCACTTTGCTTAATTGATTACCCGCAATTAGTCATGTTATTGCGAGTGCAGCAAGCAAAAGATAACCGAATTATCATTGAACTCTCGTAATTATGCAACTGCGATCTGATATCGCATCTCATGTTATACGGATTATCTGTAACGTGATAATCAGCTACGCTGTATCCATCATATGCGTTTGAGAAGTATAGCTGATGATAAGTTGCGTGTTCCGGAGACAGAAGAAAAGTCAGTGACTGCGAAAGCGTGGTCAGCTCAAAAAAAGTCGGGCAAGAGTATGCACTTACTTGCACTAGAGTGTTGTGGAGACTTAAGAAAGTCGAGGGACGAGGTTCCCAAAATTCTACGATCCCGCAACGCATCAATAATAAGTACTTATGGTATTATTGTATCAGTAATGACCACATCAAATAACACGGTTCATATTGTGCATGACGAGATCTGCGAAACACTTTCAGGTGAACGAATTCGGTAAAATAGTTGCTCAGTTAACTGAGTCACCAGGCTACGATGCCGAAGGAGCCGTTTCACCTGATGGTCGGCATATTGTCTTCACGTCAACGCGGAGTGGTGATCCAGACATATGGATAATGAATTCGGATGGAACCGAACCAAAACAGGTTGCCGAACGTTTTTCCGTCACGAGCAGTCTCCCTGATCTATGAAGGGTGATCGCGAAATGATCATCTCCAAAACAACAACTAACTCACCTAGGGCTCTGATGTTCACCTTGTTTTCAGCTAACCAATGAACTCGGTTATGACGGAGGACCATTTTTCAGTCCGGACGGCACGAAAATTTGCTTCAGAGCTTCACGACCAAATACGAGTGAAGAAATCAAAAAATATAAAACATTATTAAGGTGCGCCAGTAAATCAATTTTCATTTTTATGAAATATATTCATAAATGACCCCAAGCTGATGCTTATTCTTGTCAGCACCTCCATCTCTACGGAAAGCCAATCCATCTTCGACGTTTCCGCTAACGAAATATCCCAATTAGCCGGGGATGCTCAGTTGCGCTACCCTCAGGAGCGATTTGTCGAAGTTTCTGTTAACCGTCTATTCAGTTGACCATCACAGATCAGAAAATTTTGGTCTGTTCGACGATCCTCACTTGAATCGTCTACTAACCGTTTTCATTTGAAATCTTTCAGCTACAATTTGGTAGCACCAACGGAGATGGAGCTGTACACGATGAACTTGGATGGAGGTAACTTGAAGAAGGTCACCTCACTTGGTGGATCTAATTGGGCACCGTTCTATCTTCATGATGGTCATCGGATCATATTCAGTTCGAACTTCAACTCTTCGGGGCATTTCGGCGCGTTCGACCTCTACATAATTGACGAGGACGGCGGGGATCTCGAACGAGTACCTAATGGAATACTTTTTCAAAATTTTCAACTCTCAAAAACTCCTCAAAATCATCACTAAACTCATGCTATCTCTGATGAATATTATCAGCATTCATAAATTTCAACGACTGCATCTGTGATATAGCATTTAGTTGAAGTTATATGTGAAGATTCGCCGAAAGTATGAATCAATGCTATTTGTATTTTCTGTCGTGAGAACGGTCATCTCATCAAGTCTTTGTCAAGCAATCAAATTAGGGTATCACAGAATGTATTTCTGAAACGATTGATCAGTAAATTCAGCTTGATCACAGAAGGAAGTTCGATTCAAACAATCGCTTCACCGCTTAATAGTATGCTGAAGATTGCTCTTGCTTGTGGACTCGTAAGAATTATTCAGGTGACATATAATGAAGGCGGTTTTGATGCATTTCCGATGTTTGATGTTGCTGGCAGACGGCTCGTATGGGGAAGTTCACGTAACGGAACATCGCCACATGAGCTGAATCTTTTCATAGCTGATTGGATAGAAATGTCGAATGGAACAGAAAGCGCAGAAAAGGACGGCAGCGATGAGGACGATAATCGCACAAAGGTAGTTTATGCTCTTAATAAACACTTTGGATACATTGCACCTAAGGCAACGAAATTAAAATTACTTCCGAAAAGATTTTGGGAGTTTTGTTTGCAATTGATCTACTCATATCATAAAAGTAGCCGATTCCGCGATTTATCCGGCAAACTCATGATATCCTCATCGAAATCAAGGCATTTAAAATGGTTGTGAGTCCACAATATAAATAGCAGTAATTTTTTAAATGTCCGTTTAGGTTACCTATTCAATTCAAGTTTTTACAGGAACAACTCAAGAAGCGTGTTCATCGTGACTACGATAGCGTTCTGTCACCGCAAGAGCCACATCTGAAGAATGTCCGTCAGATGACATTCGATGGTATCAATGGACAAGCGTATTTCAGGTTAACCATAAGTATTCCAACACTTCGGATATCTCTAACTAAGCGTTTGATACACTGTAGAGCATAAGCGGAAATTATGATTTTTGCTGTGTCGTATTCATGTTGTCAAAATGCTCAAATTACCTAGTAATCCGAGGGTATTTCGGGCTTTGCCTTTAGAAGACTATAAATGACCTATAAGTTTATCCGGTTGTATGAGCAGTGATTTCAAGCAGTTGCGTATACGTGACAGGGAATGTCCTCTGTTCCTGAAGTATGCAGCATGATCTCCACGGGATACTCATTGAGATCATATGGGTTTGTTTTCAGTTACGATGACAAATCATTGGTATATCAAGCGTTGGGTAATTTAACGTATGGCACTACATGCGATCAGGTGATGAGATTATCCAGTGCTTTCATTTCCACTTAGCAAATACTCAAACAAAATACTCAATTATTCAAAATACTCAACAAAATACTCAGTTATTCATTCGCAGTTAGCTGCTACGTTTGCACGTTGATAGGATATTGACCGAATTGCGATATGATGCTGATAATATAGCGATGAATTGTATAATGATAACTTTGCATCATTTGAAGTCGGGTTCCGATTGCTTCTCTTGAATACCAATAAGATTATGGAACGTAACTGAGGATTGGGATTATTTTTATTAATTTTTGTCGATAGCAAATTTTTTGGGAACCAATAAGATTAGGAAGAAATAACTGAGCTTCGGTGGTCATCAACCATCTGTTCATAGTCTTATGTTAACAATAATTACAATTACATTACATCAATGGTCTAAGATTTACAGATATACGTTTTGGATGTTGATAATCCTCGTCGACTACCACGTAGACTTAGTACAGGTAAGAGACCAGCCACTTATTGTTGAAATACGAGGATATTCTCCCAGATCGAGCTGGGAAATCCTAAAATGTACCCTTATTGTTTGTCGATCCTTCTGAAGCCGTCTGTGCTCACAACCTTACCATCCAAACTTCCTGTGGCTATTTTCATTGCTGACATGTTAAATACTGCTGAGAACATATCGGAATTCCTTCACGCTGTTCATATTAATGTTGAATGTTGTTCTAAGGGCTTGGAACATCCAGCTATTCGTATTTCTTCCCCAATGGTGATGCTCTCTACGCTGGAACTTTCTTGTCTGCAAACTGGAGTTCTATTGACACTTGCGATCGTAAAGCATGCTCATTTGCTACAGATGCTGAAGTGAAGCGGCTATGTGAGGATTTACTTCCACTCATCTGAAGTAATCATGTGTTTTCCTATGATCAGTATGAACACTTGACTTATTATGGCTCATTCCAGGTAATTCATCGTACTTATGGAATCTACTCCCCAGTTACGACATCTTCAAAGTTAACAAATATGGTAATCTCATAAGGAGACTTACCAATTCTGAGGGTAATTCTATCACTATTCGATTTCCTGATGACACCATAATGTATAATAGTTCATTTGACCAGTCCGCGATCATGAGGCAAGTTAGATGGAGAAACGAGCGATACCCGTGCGGATTTCAAACAAAGCCAAGAAAATATCTGAATAATAAGAGAATTCGTCCAGATGACTAAATCTCCGAAGTCAGCCCTCGCAAGAAGTATATAACGCTCACAAAATCCTTACGATCATATACTGCAGAAAAACTGATATGTCTGCATTCACAATATGGACGATGCAAGTAACCCGGAACCTAATCCAGTAAATGTTGAAGGATATGACGCGGAAGCTTCGGTTTCAAACGATGGAAGGCGCATAGTTTTCACATCGATGCGAAGTGGTGATCCTGAAATATGGATTATGAACTGGGACGGCTCTGGTTTAAAACAGGTCTCTTCTTTACATATTCATGATAATTATTCTTTCTACTCGTGCTAATAAATAGGAACCAACTTATTCAGTAATCAAGTGCCTCGTCAGGAACAGAGAGCGTTTTTGTGAATTGAATTGGTGCATTTTCATCATCCAATTATTATTCTTATCAATATAATTTTTAATTCCGTAAGAGATTATATTATGTAAAGAGATGTTTGATTAAAATTATAGGGAGGTGTTTGATTAAAATTTTGTATTATAATCTNAGCACAAATTGAGAGAGATATCCGCCGATGGCTTGAATTTCAGCTAACCTCTTCCGTGGGCTATGATGGAGGCGCATCGTTCAGCCACGATGATACTAAGATAATCTTCAGAGCATCAAGACCAAAAACTGCGAAGGAGATCAACAAGTACAAACTGTTGTTGAAGTGAGTGCTTGTGAATCTTTATCAGTTGATTTCCTCTTTTGCTTACACAACTTAAAGTGTTAACTTCAACCTAAAAGTGAGTGAGTCTCACAATGGAATAATTCTGTAGGAATAATCTCGTTGAACCAACCGCTCTGGAATTGTATGTGATGAACTCGGATGGCTCGAATCAACGCCGTATCACGTCTTTGGGTGGTGCAAACTGGTCACCAGCGTATCTTCGTGATAATCGACGAATTTTATTCGCATCCAATTTCAATTCCTCATTGATGGGATCGTTCAACTTGTACACTATTTATGAGAATGGAACTGGCTTGGAGCAGGTTTATTTTTACTCAGCCAATTTCTATCTGATGATCAGTGACTGTAAATGTCATTGTCAATGTCTCAAACACTCATCATTGAATAAACATCCGTTCGGATAATATTCCCCTCATTCTCGTTCATGTTGAATGTTACAGAATAAATTTGCCCTATGATCGATCAAAATCATTTCCGAATTATGCATTTAGTTATTATTTTTTCAGTCAGTTGAGATAAATTCCATGTTCAGCATTGCAGTATCTTTAGTCTTGTTGTTGCATCATGCACTTCCCAGAAATGTTGGCATTTTCATATTTCAAAACAGCTATCCTTGATGCGTTCAGCACCATGCCGTTCAAGATATGCAACTGATCGTGACTTCAAAGCAACCGGAGAGTTCTTCATCAAATGGCTTGAATGTATCGTTTGCAGATAACGTTCACTGAAAATGAATTCAATGGACTCTCGTCGGTGAGTTTCGATGGCGACTGTGTGACGTGGAGTAGTAATGGTGGAAACAAGGATTTGAATATATACGTGGCAGACTGGAGCGATCGAGCACCTATCAGTGAGGAAGAGCTGAATCAATTACGAGCGGATTTGCCACCTCAGTTCTCACCTCAATTCACGTCATCTTTATTTCCAGTCTCAACACTGGCTGAAATTATTGTGAAAGGTTGGGATATGCTTGATAAGTTGATCCATTGAAGTGTTTCTTCGTTGATCTAGTCAATTTTTTTGGGCGACTGAAGTGCATAGGGTACTGTATCTTTCCGAACATATTTTATCCATTTCTCAATGTGAATATGCCACACACACACATCACTACAGCAAACTTATCCAGTACGATTCAGTTCATGGATTGATTATATTGCCATTGTGTAATTAAATCTTCATGCATCTTTATTATGATACCATAATCAAATGTTCATAGCATTATCCATTACATGAAACTTATTTTGTAACAGATCACAAACGACATCGAAATAATATTATGAGTAATTTCTCTTATTATGAAAAATGTATAGGTTTGAGATATTTGTGAAGAATTATTTGTCAGTTTTATAATGCAAAGCAAACTGTTGAGGTGTCAATCTTCGGCTTGAATCCTCACAATGCATTTGCTTTGTCAGCGGTTATCAATTCCTTGTGCATTCCAGAATGCAAGTCACATTCTTTTTCGTCTTATGTACGTATGCTATTTCGCAAGATCAACAATAAAAATTTCACTCAGTTTTTGCTCTTGTTGTTTTCACACATCGCTAGGCATCACCAAGATTTTTTTAAAATATCTTCGCCGCACTGCGAAGGAAGTACCTTTTTTCAAGTAAGGCGAACACTCTGATTACTGTTCTCAAGCAGCCTATATCCTCAAGTTTGCTCAGCACCACAGTGGTTTTTTTNTTTTTTTGCACCATCAGAATATGCAGACTCTCATCTACCACAATAGTATGTATGTTGTCGACGGATAATGTATAGTAGTTTCAAGGATATAGCTGAATATCTGAAGGTATTTTATCCAACTGAGCGATTTTATCATACTGCCAAATTTGATCTCTATGTTGATCACTGTTGCAGTACTTGATTTTGGAATATCATCAGGTGCAACATTATCAAGCAATCTGTATCCATAGGTTTGCTCTGCTACAGGATGGCTACTATGCAAATTCCGATTCGGCAGATAGCGTGAGATTGTATGAGACATCTGTGCATTGCTCTGATGATATATTATTGAATGTATTGCTTCTGAAACGCATACGATCCGTAAGAAAAGACCCTATTGAATGTAAATCTTCCTGATGCATTTCCAGGTTTCCTGATTCTTTATAGATGATGTTATACTTGTTTGCACCGTTACTTATAATCCTTTATTTTCCTTTCATTCAATTGATGAATCCCATATTGCAAACAAATACAAAACGAAAGCAAGTTTCAATAATATAGGTAATTTGTTTGTGAGGTTTTTGAACATATGCACACATCAGCATTCTGGATAAAGAAAATCATATATTTTGTCGAGCGATATTGCTTAGTTG